AACAGATTTCGTTTGTTTATTTATTTGGTCACATAGTTGGATAATATGTAACGTACTACGATTTTGTAGAGCGCACTATGCAGATGCTCAACATGCGTAACACATATACTACACAGACTACTGTATCATGTGACACCACTGTATGTATCATTGTTAACTCTGTTTATATGATCAGAAGAGACGAGCACTCTCTATGTTTATTGGAAAAAAATTGGTATTGTGGACGTTTACTTCACAAAGATTTGTTGTGTTGTCTGTCAGTGCATCAAAGTCACTACACACCATTTGTCACGCTTCCAAATAACACCAGCAAGCAATTCACTCAATGTTGTGACATACTCACATCTCAAAGTTAATCAATGCAACAACAACGAACTTGACTTCAAATGGAAACAGCAAACAAATTATTTACTACAAGATGAGTTTTCTCATCATATTTACGTGATTGTTGTGGTTGATATCATTTATGTTGGGTTCGGATTAGGAGCGACAAATTGAGTGAGCTGTCAAGTAATTCAACTCATAAGTGCCATGTAAATAATTGCTTCAATCAATGCAACTTACGAATATAATAGCCAGTTTTTTGGACTGTGACTATGTTCACTACTAGGTGCACACGCCGATTTGAATGTGCTGATTAGACAGGGAAATAAATTCTTATTGCTTTGACAAATATCAATCCAATGTCCACTATCATGGTCTCCATCGTATAATCTTAAACAAATTGGTCCTTTTGAGGACGCATGCCGTTTCTGTAAGGTGATTTCCAATGAACACATGAGTACGGCAATAAATAGAGTTGCATAAATCGACATGGTCGTCTATCAGTTTGTGAAAATAATCTCAGCAGGCCAATTTATATTTTCCTCTTGAAGGACAATTAAGGTCATTTCTAGTAATCCCACACGACCTGTTACCGAAAATAATAACAAATCAATTTGCTATAGCTTATCCTTACTTTATTCCTATTATAGAGACTTTCATGTTGTTAATTCCTTCGATATTGATTTCAGCTTATCATGGTAGAATATTTAGTGTAAATTCTAGTTGATATTTGTATATATGTCAATTGTCAGGTCATTATTGTTCATGTTTCTTGTTGTGTATGAAATTGTTAATGGTTGAAGTAGAGTTTTATAAATATTCCTTATTATGCGAGTTGTTATATGTTGATTGGTGTGCATTGTTCACATGTTTCATTAGGAATCGTTGATTTGTGTTTGTTATTGAAGATGGCTGTTGCTAGATTTGTTCGACATGGTTTGCGAATGAGAATAATTGTACTGGCAGTTCATTGATAGTATTTGATTGATATACAGTCTTTTCAGTTGTTTATATGTTGGGTAATATGTAAAAGGTTTTATATTTAGGCCAATCAAGTGTTCGATTACATCAGGGTTTTTAATGTTTGGGCTACTAATTATTTTAACGGTTGATAGTGGATGGTTAGGTTAATGAGAAACCAGTATGGTTGGTATCTATTTGGTTTGAAATCATAAGGAGGGTTAAGATAGTTTTAAATAATCTATTTGACTTACCTTCTAGTATCGCTTTGTGTTATTTATCATGTGTGGCTTTTATGTTGAGTTTGTTGTTATGGTTTTACAGATTATTACTGGAGTAATTTTGTCTTGTTGTTTATAGATTTTATTATAAATTTGAGATAGTGATGTTGTGGATGGATGATAGATTATTGAATTGGTTTAAACGCTATTTATATATTTGGGGCGTAAGAGTGATCTTTCTTCTCTATATGTTCATATTGGTCGGAGATTGTGTTAAAGGAGTTATAGGAAGTTGAGGGTATGGAATGTTGTGTTTATCTGTTCTGTATATTTTGGTAATGGTAGAAGCATTTTTGAGTTCTGTTTTACCTTGACATTAGATGTCTTACTGAGCGGCTACAGTTTTAACTTTGGTTATTTTAAGTGTGCCTGTAGTCGGTAATACTCTGTATTCATTTATAATCTGTGTGTATTCAGTTAGTGTAACGGAGACGTTAATTCGTGTGTTTCCTGTTGATGTGTTTGATGCGGTTGGTTTTATTGTTGTTAGTAGGCTTACATTTTGTTTTATTTACATATGTCTGGATCTCGTAGTCCTCTATATCTATTTAAAGCTTATATGGATTGATTGTATTTTCATAGTTATTATTCTTTGAAGGTTATTTTGGTTTTGATTTTAATACTACGTTTTATGGTATGCATTCTTTTGGTTTCTCCAAATTTGGTATTAGATATTGAGGCTGTTGGGTGATGAAAGTACGTCGAGGATGTTTATGTGTATTAGTAGGTTTTGAGTATTGTTTATTTTTGGTGTGTAAATTATGGGACTGGTTTTGTTCTGCTTTGACATTGTTGGTTATTTTAGTATAGGATGTGGTGTGGTTAAAGAGTTGTTTATTGTAGATTCGCATTCTATGTTGATGAGGATTTTAACCGTGTTGTTGTTATATGTGATACTATTGGTTGTGAGTGTATCAGACTTTCATTCGTTGGTGAGTATGTGGTTAGTGCTCTGACTTGTTATAGACTAATTAAAGCACTATTATTCTGACTGTTTTATAAGCTTTCAATGATTTGTGCTTTGTATTCACTGATTAAGTAGTGTTTGTATCCGGAGTGATATTTAACTTGATGGTATTTCGCGTGTTATCTACTACTTGGAACTGTTCCTTCATTGTTATGTCTACTGTTTTTGGGTGTTGATGTTTTCGTAGGTAGAATTTGTTTATCTGAAGTTATCTTTGGTGATGCAGAAAAGTGTTGAACAGAGTGAATATTGTGTAAATGTGGTTAACATGTATACTGAATGATTCATAGATGAAATATCTGTTTGGTGTCAGTGCACTAAATTCATTGATAAACGAATCCACTGATGAATGTGCACTATTTCTCTACACAGTGCCGTTGTACTCATTTGATAATGCATGACTTTTGCTGACCGCTGTCTCACCCGATAATTATGCGTTAAAAAAAGTAAATCCTGATGACCACTTAGTTGAGATAACAATTGTCAACTCAGCTATTGTTTGTTGTTGGATACTTTGTTGAGGCTCATCATGAAAAAGCAAGCATACATAAATTCTAATACTGAAATTCTAATATCCCTTTTAAAATTCTCCCGAGACACAGTAACATCGAGCAATTTTCTACCCAATGAATGTTTAGCAGAAAGTTTGCATCAACATGTAGAGAATGAGGAGTCATGTTTTGTGGTTTCGATTCCATGTTCAATTGTATTGTTAGTGAATTTAGCTGCATTCAAGAAATTCCCAGAAACACATACACTTGCATTTATTTTGTTAGTGAAAAGTTAAACTTGAATTCCCCGTCAATCTACTCACATCATTGTAAGGAATGTTGAAATGCAAATGTGAAATTTACAAGTTCAGGTAGGAAAATAAGGTGTTAATTGTATTTTTAATTGTAGTAGGTAAAGACCCTAGTGAAATGACAGGTTCATTTTAAGTCTCACGTTCAGTTAAATACTTGGGATTAACAGACGGCGATGAATGGATGTATATATATATATATATATATATATATATATATATATATATATATATAGATAGATAGATAGATAGATAGATATATCAAGCGCTGAGAAATGATTGACTGTCTATCTACCACTATATAAAGATAAGTAGCTTGATGCAAAACGCAGAAAGCAAGCGCACCAACCGTTAAAATAATTAGTAGCCCAAACATTAAAATCCCTGATGTAATCGAACACTTGATTGGCCTAAATATAAAACCTTTTACATATTACCCAACATATAAACAACTAAAAAGATTATTTATCAATCAAATACTATCAATGAACTGCCAGTACAATTATTCTCATTCGCAAACCATGTCGAACAAATCTAGCAACAGCCATCTTCAATAACAAACACAAATCAACGATTCCTAATGAAACATGTGAACAATGCACACCAATCAACATATAACAACTCGCATAATAAGGAATATTTATGAAACTCTACTTCAACCATTAACAATTTCATACACAGCAAGAAACATGAACATTGATGACCTGACAATGGACATATATATATACAAATATCAACTAGAATTTACACTAAATATTCTACCATGATAAGCTGAAATCAATATCGAAGAAATTAACAACATGAAAGTCCCTATAATGGGAATTAAGGGAGGTCGTGTGGGATTACTTGAAATGACCTTAATTGTCTTTCAAGAATAATAATCTGTAAATTCATAACAACAAACTCAACATAAAAGCCACACATGATAAATAACTCAAAGAGATTCGACTAGGCAAATCAACCGGATTGATTGAAACTATCTTAACCATCTTAATGAACTCAAACCGAATAGATACCAACCATACTGATTTCTCATTAACCTAGCTATCCACTATTAACAGTTAAAATATTTAGTAACCCCAACATTACAAATCCTAATTCAATCGAACACTTGGTTGGCCTAAATATAAAACCTTTTACATATTACCCAACATATAAACAACTGAAAAGACCATTTATTAAGCAAATACTATCAACGAACTGCCAGTACAATTATTCTCATTTGTAAACCATGTCGAACAAATCTAGCAACAGCTGTCTTCCATGACAAACATAAATCAACGATTCCGATTGAAACATATGAATAATGCACACCAATCAACATATAACAACTGGTATGATAAAGGAAAATCCATATAAAAATGTAGTTAAACCATTAACAGAGATCGATTGATATATATATATATATACATGAAATGCTGAGAAATGATTGACTGTCCATCAACTACTGTATAAAGATAAGTAGCTTGATGCAAAACGCAGAAAGCAAGTGCACCAACCGTTAAAATGAATAACAGCCACAACACCAAAAATCCTAATTCACTCGAACACTTGATTGGCCTTAATAATAAAACCTTTTAAACATTACCCAACATATAAGGAACATAAAAAGGATTATTTATTAACCAAGTACTATCAACGAAGTGAAAGTGCAAATATTCGCATTTTAATTATCCATGTTTTGATTGCTTTCAGCTAAATGAATTGAAATGAACTGATCATTATTACGAGGAAATGAATGTTGTGGTTTGTAAAGTTGAAAAAGAACATTTGTATTATTCTCAGAATCATGTGACACTCGACTTGATTTCGTTAGATTGTCAAATTCAACTAGTTCGAAATTTGGTTCAATACGGTCTATATTCATTTTGATATGCCAACTGAACAGCGGATTATTTTCTCTCGTTTGTTTGTTAGTCGGATTTAAAGTATGATTAGTGGTCATTGATAAAGAATTTGATTGATGATATAGATTTTCGGATTGATTATTTTCACTAGTTGCACGTGTTGGACAAAATTGAAAAAGCAGATTGTTCAGATTGGAAACGAACAACTAAAGGGGTAGAACATGAATGTAATGTGTTGGAGTGTAGTGTAAAACTAGCCTCGAATTGATTTGTTGAACTGTTAGCGCCATGTTGTCATAGAGAATCAATGGTCGAACTAATTCTAAATACATAGTTATGTTAATCATGCTTCATGCCTTGTTCGATTATCTATTGCATGTGCAATCATTTGGATGGGATATCTTGCTTTCGAGTCCTCAGAGTAACAGTAATAATGGTTGCGAATTCCATAATCGGACGAAACGATTTACAGAGCTTCAGTGTTGCCAATGCTGGTCTAACAATCATTGATTCATGGTTTCAGTGATTTCAGTAACGTTGGTGAATGATTGAAATCGACAACGAGAATATATTTACAGATTAATATCATCATTAAATAATTTACTTGAAATCTTTCACCCAATTGTAATAATATTTTATATGAATCTGTCAAATAATTTCAGCATGATATCTCAATCATGGTAATAATGACAATGTAAAATAGATTACATTTGAAATCGAACAAAATTTGATTCTCAATTTACTGCATCAAACGATCATGTTTCTTATTCAGTGTCATTTTCGAATTCTACCTTTATATTCGCCAAACTATCTCTGTAAGAGAAAAGTAAACATTTTTTTGAAAAAATTAAAATAATTTGTTGCGTAATTAATTATCAAAATATAGAGAGATAGGAAGAGGAGAAACCAGATGTTATGATTCATGAAATCTATAAGATCATATGTATCTGTGATCCAGTGTTAGTCATTTGGAAACCGAGATACAAGGTTTGATGTCGACCAACTTCAAACTCGAAAATCTCACCACCTAACTCTGTTCAGTTTGATTCAAATGTAATTTTGTGTACGAAACATATAAATATATATGATTAGTGTAATTTCCACACATTATTGGCTTTCACCGTGAGATTAGTTTTGAAAATAATAATACAACTAGTTAAACTGTGATGAATATGTATGTCTGTAGTTTCAATTGAATTGTGATTTATCAAAATATAGCAACGAGTCATCAGTATTCCATACTTTCGACACCTGTCTTCAGTCTGTGGTAGTGCTCTTGCTTTCTGTGTATTGCATCAAGCTACTTGATATTATACAGTAGTTGATGTCATACTCAATCATTTTTCAGCATTTGTTCATGTATTACTGTCTACCAGAACATCAGACTTATAATGAAACTTTCATTTCACTAATAATACAATCACTACTATCACAATCCAACTGTTTTCTCAATCGAAAAGCTTGTATAAGTGTTCATGCTCGCCCTGAATAAGTAATTGATCAAGTTGATTGATAGTTATGCATTCTATGATTTCATGTAGGCAGAACTGGCTGGCAGTAAATGGCCGTCACTTCATAATTTTGAGTACACTCTCATCTGATAAGGCAGTTGAAATTTCCCTTCACCAAACAAAAACCAATTCTAAATATGTTCACACCAGTGAATAAAATGGATGCAAAATTCTGTGATTTTCGTTCTACGATTGAAAGTAATTAGCATTTTTTCTGTGTATAAGAAAAGCCATATGAATTCGAACATTCATTCCCAATTCATGTGTTCAGAGGACATTCATGACACTACTATCTCTTCTTCAGCCGGATATGACTTATTCAACCGATTGGGAGGAAAAATTGTCGCCCTAATCAACGATGAACTATTGAGAAAATCGGTTCCGAATTTTATTGTATTGTATTTCATTGTTCTCAACACTAACAGAACACCTGGCCTCTTATAATAAACCTCTACTTATTATGTGCTCATACGTTATCACCTTCATTGTGTTTAAGAATTGATAAGAAATCGCCTTGTTTAGTTTACAATTTCCATGTAAATATGCATGTACTCATCATGTAGTTTAGAGTAAAGCTTGATGATTATGCAATGTGAAACAATATTGTTGTTCAAATGTCAAGTAATAATTCCTAATGAAAAATCAACAGTTCGATTGTGAAAATCGTCATCTCAATAAAAATAACTTATTCACATTCCGATTTGTACATCTATCAAAAATTTTGGATTATGCTCTGCTGTTTCATTAAAAATTTTCCATGAGAATTGTGAACAGTTGAAAATTTTAAGATTCACAGCGTCTGTTAAAGAAAGGAAGAACTCCGAGATATTGGCTTAGTTGAGTGTTTATTCTTATATTGCTCGACCCCATCCAAAATGTAACAGTACGTCTGAGTACAACAATTCTCAGCATTATATAACGTCGAAAATCTGTGGAGGATACGAGTGATTCTGGTATTGTTAGTGATGATGTCGGCAATTCACTGATTATGCTTCCTGACTTCTCTCTCCCGCTAAAGAACAGAAACAACAATTCGAAATCGTATGCATTACACTAACTAGTCTCAAACTACTCATCAGTCCATTTCTTATGGGAACATCATTCTAGCGTTGAATCATATAATCTGGTCTGCTGAGATTAATTTCCTAAACGGTCACACAAACATGTCAATATGCACCGAATCTGCAAGCAAATATATGTCGAAATGATTTTCACAGAAATTAAATATAAGAATTTTCAATTTGCAAACAGCTAATTTCTTACGAAATAATTATTCATAAATAATTCCTACATATGATCGCATTGTGAACTAGCAATTTCAGTGAAATCGTCAGTGTGTTCGATGACCATCAATCCAAATCATTCATTCGTAATTCCTAGTGTGGTCAAAAATTCTATGCGAGTTCGGGTAGGGTGTAGGGTGTGTAGGACATGAATGTTATGTGTTTGAGTGTAGTGTAAAACTAGCCTCCAATTGATTTGTTGAACTGTTAACGCCATGTTGTCATAGAGAATCAATGATCGAACTAATTCTAAATGCATAGTTATGTTAACGATGCTTCATGCCTTGTTCGATTATCTATTGATGGAGAACATTATATCACAAGTTCAAAAGGCACTATTATGTAAGAGATTACGTTGATCATTGTTGAAATTCTGCAAATTGAACTGAGTTTAGCGTAGAGGTTGATATTAAGAAGACAGGTGTACAGTGAGTGTTGAGAATAATGAAATACAAAACAATAAATTTCGGATCCGATTTTCTCAATTGTAAACGAATGCTGAAAAATTATTGCCTATGACATCATCAACTACTGTATAATGATAAGTAGCTTGATGCAATACACAGAAAGCAAGAGCACTACCACAGACTGAAGACAGGTGTCGAAATTATCAAATACTGATGACTCGTTGCTATATTTTGACAAATCACAATTCAATTCAAACTACCAACATACATATTCATTGCCATCTAACTAGTTGTATCATTGTTTTCAAAACTTATGTCACGGTATATGCCGACATTGTGTGGAAATTACACTAATCATATATATTTATATGTTTCGCACACTAATTTACATTCCCATCAAACTAAAGATAGTTAGGGGATGAGATTTTCGAGTATTACCAACTACAGGCACACTTAAAATAACCAAAGTTAAAACTGTAGACGCCCAGTAATGAATCTGATGTTAAGGTAAAACAGAACTCAAAAATGCTTCTACCATTACCAAAATATACAGAACAGATAAACACAACATTCCATACCCTCAACTTCCTATAACTCCTTTAACACAATCTCCGACCAATATGAACATATAGAGAAGAAAGATCACTCTTACGCCCCAAATATGTAAATAGCGTTTAAACCAATTCAATAATCTATCATCCATCCACAACATCACTATCTCAAATTTATAAGAAAATCTATAAACAACAAGAGAAAATTACTCCAGTAATAATCTGTAAAACCATAACAACAAACTCAACATGAAAGCCACACATGATAAATAACTCAAAGAGATTCGAGTAGGCAAATCAACCGGATTCATTGAAACTATCTTAACCATCTTAATAAACTCAAACCAAATAGATACCAACCATACTGATTTCTCATTAACCTAGCCATCCACTATCAACCGTTAAAATAATTAGTAGCCCAAACATTAAAAACCCTGATGTAATCGAACACTTGATTGGCCTAAATATAAAACCTTTTACATATTACCCAACATATAAACAACTAAAAAGACTGTATATCAATCGAATACTATCAACGAAGTGCCAGTACAATTGTTCTCATTCGCAAACCATGTCGAACAAATCTAGCAACAGCCATCTTCAATAACAAACACAAATCAACGATCCCTAATGGAACATGTGAACATTGCACACCAATCAACATATAACAACTCGCATAATAAGGAATATTTATAAAACTCTAGTTACACCATTAACAATTTCATACACAACAAGAAACATGAACAAAAATGACCTGACAATTGACATATGTACAAATATCAACTAGAATTTACACCAAATATTCTACCATGATAAGCTGAAATCAATACCGAAGAAATTAACAACATGAAAGTCTGTCTCTATAATAGGAATAAAGTAAGGATAAGCTATAGCAAATTGATTTGTTATTATTTTCAGTCACAGGTCGTGTGGGATTACTTGAAATGACCTTAATTGTCTTTCAAGAGGATAATATAAATTGGCCTGCTGAGATTATTTTCACAAACTGATAGACGACCATGTCGAATTATTCAACTCTATTTATTGCCGTACTCATTTGTTCATCGGCAATCAGCTTACACGCACGGTATAGGCAGTCAAGAAATCTAAAGTGTTTAAGATTATACGATGGAGACCGTGCTAGTGGACTTTGGATTGATATTTGTGAACGCAATAACAATTTATTTCCCTATCTAATCAGCACATTGAAATCGGCGTGTGCACCTATTAGTAAACGTATTAGGAAGTCAAAGAAATGGGTATTATATTCGTAAGTTGCATTGATTGAAGCAATTATTTACACCACACTTATGAGATGAATTACTTGATCGCTCGCTCGCTCGCTCGCTCGCTCTTAATCCAAAGCCAACATAAATGATATCAACCACAACAATCACGTAAATATGATGAGAAAACTCATCTCATAGTAAATAATTTGTTTGCTGTTTCCGTTTGAAGTCAAGTTCGTTGTTGTTGCATTGATTAACTTTGAGATGTAAGTATGTAACAAGATTGAGTGAATTGCTTGCCAGTGTTCCGTAGAACCGTGACAAATGGTGTGTAGTGACTATGGTGCACTGACAGACAACACAACGATTCCTTTTTATGTTAACGTACACAATACCAAGTTTATTCCAATAAACATAGAGAGTGCTCGTCTCTGCCGATCATATAACCACAGTTAACAATCATACATACAGAGGTGTCACATGATACAGTAGTCTATGTAGTATATGTGTTACGCATGTTGAGCGTTTGCATAGTACGTTCTACCAAATCGTAGTACGTCACATATCATCCAACTGTATGACCATATGAATAAACAAACGAAATCTGTTTGTTCAATGGACCATTCATTGATATTCATTAAATTTTATTTGTTCTTTCTTCTCTTTTATATTTCTTTGCAGTGAAAAAAACTATAGTGGACGTTGTACTATTGTTGAACCTGGCAAATGTGTTCATAATATAACACACAATGTGTCGTCCATATATACATGGAATCGAGGTGACCCTATGCACCGGGTGACTGGATGTACGAATTAGGGGAGAAATGTTTCCCGAACAAGTTTGTTTAACGAAACGAGCACTGATATTGTTGTGCAGTGAACAGTAACGAGCATTGTCTCGTAATTTGACTGATCAATCTATTTATTTATAGCATCAATGCACTTTGTATTAGATTTCATTGTTAATCGTTTGAATACAAGTTGTTGTTTTGTGTGTTTTTGCGGAAATCACTTGTTGTATTCATACTACATACGATCGAATGTAGTGAAAGTCGTCTGAGCAGTTTAGAAACACGGTAATGTTGATCTGAGTTTATTTGTTCCTAACCACTCAAAATAATAATTACTGGAGATTTGAACAACACATGAAAACGAACAACATTGTTTTGTATCGCATACTCGTCAAGCTTTACTCTACTATACATGATGAGTACATGAATATTTACTTGAAAATGTTATACTAAACAGAGCAACTTATTATCGATCAATAATCACAATGAAGGTGATTACGTATGTATATATAATAAGCAGAGGTTTATAATAAGAATACAGGTGTACTGTTAGTGTTGAGAATAATGAAATACAATACAATAAAATTCGGAACCGATTTTCTCAATAGTTCATCGTTGATTAGAGCGATAATTTTTCTCTCACTCGGTTGAATAAGTCATATACGACCGAAGAAGTGATAGGAGTGTCCTGCATTTCTTCTAAACACATAAATAGGGAATGAATGTTCGAATTCATATGGCTTTTCATAAACACAGAATAGATGGTAATTAATTTCGATCGTAGAGGGAACATCACAGATTTACTCATGCATTTTATTCCTTGGTGTGACCATATTTATAATTGGTTTTTGTTTGGTGAAGGGGAATTTCAACTGCCTTATCAGGTGAGAGTGTATTCGAAATTATGAAGTGACGGCCATTTACTGCCATCCAGTTCTGCCTACATGAAATCATAGAATGCATAACTATCAATCAACTTGATCAATTACTTATTCAGGGCGAGCATGAACACTTATACAAGCTTTTCGATTGAGAAAACAGTTGGATTGTGATAGTAGTGATTGTATTATTAGTGAAATGAAAGTTTCATTATAAGTCTGATGTTCTGGTAGACAGTAATACATGAACAAATGCTGAAAAATGATTGAGTATGACATCAACTACTGTATAATATCAAGTAGCTTGATGCAATACACAGAAAGCAAGAGCACTACCACAGACTGAAGACAGGTGTCGAAAGTATGGAATACTGATGACTCGTTGCTATATTTTGATAAATCACAATTCAATTGAAACTACAGACATACATATTCATCACAGTTTAACTAGTTGTATTATTATTTTCAAAACTAATCTCACGGTGAAAGCCAATAATGTGTGGAAATTACACTAATCATATATATTTATATGTTTCGTACACAAAATTACATTTGAATCAAACTGAACAGAGTTAGGTGGTGAGATTTTCGAGTTTGAAGTTGGTCGACATCAAACCTTGTATCTCGGTTTCCAAATGACTAACACTAGATCACAGATACATATGATCTTATAGATTTCATGAATCATGACATCTGGTTTCTCCTCTTCCTATTTGTCTATATTTTGATAATTAATTACGCAATAAATTATTTTAATTTTTTGAAAGAAATGTTTACTTTTCTCTTACAGAGAAAGCTCGGCGAATATAAAGGTAAAATTTGAAAATGACACTGAATAAGAAACATGATCGTTTGATGCAGTAAATTGAGAATCAAATTTTGTTCGATTTCAAATGTAATTTATTTTACATTGTCATTATTACCATGATTGAGATATCATGTTGAAATTATTTGACAGATTCATATAAAATATTATTACAATTGGGTGAAAGATTTCAAGTAAATTAATAATGATGATATTAGCCTGTAAAAATATTCTCACTGTCGATTTCAATCATTCACCAACGTTACTGAAATTACTGAAACCATGAATCAATGATTGTTAGACCAGCACTGGAAACACGAAAGCACTGTAAATCGTTTCGTCTAATTATGGAATTCGCAACCATCACTATTGTTACTCAAACGCAAGGTATCCCATCCAAATGATTGCACATGCAATAGATAAGCGAACAAGGTATGAAGCATGATTAACATAACTATGCATTTAGAATTAGTTCAACCATTGATTCTCTATCACAACATGGCACAAACAGTTCGACAAATCAACCGCAGGCTAGTTTTACACTACACTCAAACACATTAGCTTCCTGTCTTACACCTTTAGTTGTTCGTTTCTTATCTGAACAATCTACTTTTACAATTTTGTCCAACAAGTGCAACTAGTGAAAATAATCAATCCGAAAATCTATATCATCAATCAAATTGTTTACCAATGACCACTAATCATACTTTAAAACAGACTAACAAGCTTACGGGAGAAAATAGTCGGCTGTTTAGTTCGCACATCAAAATGAATATAGACCGTATTGAACCAAATTTAGAACTAGTTGAATTTGACAATGTAACGAAATCAAGTCGAGTGTCACATGATTCTGAGAATAATACAAATGTTCTTTTTCAACTTTACAAATCACAACATTCATTTCCTCGGAATAATGATCAGTTCATTTCAATTCATCTAGTTGAAAACTATCAAAACATGGATAATTAAAAAACACCACAATAAATAACTCAGAATTTTCATCTGTCGATTGTGAACTATTGTCATACGTAATCACCTTCATTGTGATTATTGATCGATGACAATATGTTGCTTTGTTCAGTTTAACATTTTCATGTAAATATTCATATACTCATCATTTATAGTAGAGTGAAGATTGACGAGTATGCGATACAAAGCAGTGTTGTTCGTTTTCATGTGTTGTTCAAATCTCAAGTAATTATTCTTACTGAAAAATCAACAGTTCGACTGTGAAAATCGTCATTTCAATGAACATAAATTATTCACCTTCCGAATTCAACATCTTTGAAGATGTTGAATTCTGCGTTACTGTTTCATTGACAGTCTTTCATGCTAATTGGAAAAAAGTTGAAAAACTTTAACATTCACAGCGTTTGTTTCAGAGAGGAAGAATACCGAGACAGAGCATTAGTCCAATGTCCGTTTAAATATCGCTCGACCTCATCCAAAATCAACAGTACGTCAGAGTACAACGCTACTCTGCATTATATGGCATCGACATTCTGTGGAAAATACAAATCATTGTGGAAGTGATAGTGATCATGTCGACAATTCACTCATTATACTTCCTTACTTCACACTCCAACTAATCAACAGAAACAACATTTCGAAATCGTATGCATTACACTCACTAGTCTCAAAATACTCATAAGTCCTTTTATTATGGGAACATCATTCTAGCGTTGAATCACATAGTCTGGTCTGCTGAGATTAATTTCCTAAACGGTCACACAAACATGTCAATATGCACCAAATCTGCAAGCAAATATATGTCGAAATGATTTTCACAGAAATTAAATATAAGAATTTTCAATTTGCGAACACATAATTTCTTACGAATTATTTATTCATGAATCATTCCTACTTATGATCGCATTGTGAATTTGCAATTTCAGTGAAATTGTCAGTTTGTTCGATGACCATCAATCCAAATCATTCATTCGCAATTCCTGGTGTGGTCAACATTTCTATGCGAGATCCGCTGTCAATCAATCGATCAATGATAAATTATAAATCGAATCGTTGATATCTCGACCTACTCTCAAACTGATTTCAGGAATCATAACGAAATCTATGACTAACACTTCCTCGATCGGTCGATCATTTAATGTCACTAACTTTGTGAGTAATCGCAATGATTAATTGTACTTTACAGATCCCTATAATAAGCGGAGAGTCACCACTAAAACGATAATATAATTAAATACTGATTATAAGCTTATTCAGATTTGACAACGAATTATTTGTTAGCCGTTTCTCACTCACATGTGCACTGAAGTAATCACATTCACGTCAGCATTATATTAGTTCATTGCTATTGAGTGGTTCGGAACTAAGTCAATACAACAGCTCACTAATCAAAGTCTGCAAAACGGCATGATAAAATTGAAGCATGTTGAAAATATCCGTTGATGAATGAACGTAAGATGGAACAATGAGTTGTCCATTTATCAAACAGATTTCGTATGTTCATTCATATGGTCAAACATTTGGATGATATGTAGCGTACTACGCCGTTGTGAACTGCAGGGTGCAGTAACACTTATACTTCCCAGACTACTGTTCCATGTGACACCTCTGGATGTATGATTGTTAACTGTGGTTATATGATCAGCAGAAACGACCACCGTGTATGATGTTGATTGCAACTACACAGTATTGTGAATGTTTGCTTCACAAAGATTTGATGTGTTGTCTGTCAGTGCACTAAACACACTACACAACACATCATTTGCCACGCTTCCAAGTACCACCCCCAAACAATTCACTCAATATTCTTAAATACTCACATCTCAAGTGTAATCAATGCAACAACAAAGAACCTGACTTCAAACAGAAACAGCAAGCAAATTGTTTACTACCAGATGAGATTCCTCATCATATTTACGTGATGGTTTTGGTTGATATCATTTATGTTGGGTTTGAAATAAGAGCAAACGAGCGAGCTCTCATGTTATTCATCTCATAAGTGCCATGTAAATAATTGCTTCAATCAATGCAACTTACGAATATAATAGCCATTTGGATGGACTGCCATTCTTCTGTTTATTAGGAGCACACGCCGATTTCAATTTGTCGTTTAAGCAGTGAAATACATCTTCATTCGGTCCACAAATATCAATCCAACGTTCACTAACATACTTTCCACTGAATAATCTCAAACACTTCGGTACTATTGACAGGCCAAACGATGAATCTAATGAACACATCAGTACGACAAGAAATACACTTGAATATATTGACATCGTTGTCTATCAGTTTGTGAGAACTGTCCGAACAGGCCAATTTATATTCAACTCTTGAAGGACAATTAAGGTCATTTCAAGTAATTCCACACGACGTGTTAACGAAAATATCAACAAATCATCACTATTGTAAAGTGATAATAGTCAACCCAAATGTCAACCGAAGATTAAAACATTGTACTTTGAGAACGAACGTATGGTGGAAATTCGATACAGCTAGTCAAATAAATAACTATATGTGTAGGTGGCAAGTAATGCCCAAACGTACATGCGCACACAAGCTCAACGATGATAAAAGTACAAGATATATGTGAGATGATACACACGTAGTTCAGGATATTTCTCACAATATGAATGAATATATTAGTTGTGAAATAACAACAGTAGTGTGATGTTCTGTATTCACACTGGTTGTTGGCTATTTAGAGCATATGGAAGTTAACTAGAGGAATTCAAGTAGAATTTACTCGCAGAACCATAGTGTTGGATTATCATGACCAAAATACATCGAGTTCAGTTATTTTGATGACCTGTAAGATTATAATGGTAGGATATATAGATGGTTGATTAATGATCATTAATTATGAACTCACATGTAGATGACTTGTTGTATTCGGTGATGAATAAAATTGTTGAACAGAGTGAATGTTGTGTGTGTTGAGTGTGTTGTGTGTTTAAGATGTATACTGGATGATTGAGAGATGAAATATGTATTTGGTGTCAGTGCACTAAATTGATCGTTGTTGATCGACGAATCCACTGTAGATAGTTATTATCACAAATTACCTTATGTCGATTTCACATTGAGTGAGTGTGCCTCGTTTATTCATGAATCAAAATGTTTCGCGTTTGTGGTAAATCATGTTGGATTTTGATTCATGAGTATCTGTTGTTTGAAGTTGCTCAACACTAATATTTTGGACTGCCTTCAATTTTGTACTTGCTTACTGAATTACCAGATATTGTCATCAGACCACAAGTATTTGACTATTTGTGTAATCCGGTATAATGTGAATACTAAAAAAAATTAACACCGTTCTACCGATTTTGATTGACCTACATGAAATATGCATTATCTTCATTTTATGAAGACAGATTTCTTGTTGACAAGTGAGAAGTCCCCATTGAGCTGCTGTACGTGATTTAAAACCAGTCAAAATGCAACTTAAACTTACCAACTCAACACAGATTATAAATTCAATGACACACATCAATAGGTATTTATTTATATCTGAATATCTGTTATCTCTGTCAACTATGAAATCACAAGGTATGGTTTGGAGAGTGTTTCATATAATTGCTTCATGAATATTCATCGAAATGAGTTGTGAAATTGTGCACGTGTCTATTATTACGGATGATCTACTCAAATCAATCATAGTATTAATTTAAGATTATTCATTCTAGTAGTAGCTTCTTACACCACCAACATTAGTAAATGAATCGATTATTGAAGAAGAAGTTTTCAATGAATTTTTTTTGTCTGTCTACTCACTACTAAACAACAACTTCACTTCGACTAGCAGTATTTACGAGAAATGTCATTTTTCGCTGATGAAAATGAGTTCATGAAAATTAGTTAGTTCATGTTCTCATAGATTCCAATGAATAAGTCATGCTTAATTCAGATTGAACATGTCTATACAGTTTGTAATCTAGTGGAAAATGACAATGTGATTAGACAAGCATTTAATTGTTTTCGTTTCAGCAAGTTACATATGATTGTTAATTTATCATGATTATTGTTCACATCTAATATATGATCGATAGAAGACAATTCACTTGCACATATACATGCATATCACAGATATTCGTCTGCTTAGTTCTCATATCAAGATCAATATAGACTGTATTCAATCAAATTTAGTTCTATTTCAATTCGAAATTCTAATCAAACAAACAACTTTCCATCACAGTTCACTACATACTATGAATTTTCTCAGTTAAGGAATAGTTCTAATGACGCAGATTACTGATTTCTGCACGGAAATGCACTAGCGACGGCTGGAAAATATGTCTTCATCCAATAATGACTTCTCAGTTAGTCAACGTAACTAGTGCTGATTGTGTAACATACGAAGAATTTAAGACTAGATGGAATATGTAGCTCTGGAGAAGACAAAGTCTACCAACAAAATATGTACAATTATTCTTCAAACATTAACTTGCAATAAAACAGGTTATCAACTATCTTCTTTCATATCTATTCTGGTCTGCAAAATACTCTGACCGAGTAATGCATAATGATTTCCAGATATTCGAGGTGACACAGCGATACATACTACTTACATTCCAACATACCATCAACATCCACCACAGTTTGTGAAGTATTTGGACAACACAGATACTAGATTATATAGATGTGAATTCGATCGGACGCTTGGCCACGTGATGTTAGAGACGATGATGTTAGATTTTGCAAGCATAGCCTTGACAAAACGTAGCGTAAAATCAGAGATCGATCGATTGAAATAACTCATACAACGTTCAGTATTTTACTACACTGTGTTGTATTATTTATTTGCTGATATATGAAATTTGTTGAATTTGAATGTCTCATGCAATAACTAAAGATATAATGATGTAATAACTGTCCATTGAAGTCGTATGATTGTCAAGATTGCGAACTTTGTTCAGCTTCCAATTCGGATTCTTCGATTGACTATGTGCTTGCTTTATCATGTAAACTGTTTAACAAATGAACTTGCTCTAGTCTTGCTGATT